CAGAAAGGTTGCCATGTCATGAAAATGTAAAATAGAGATGCAGAATCAAAGCAATAATATGTGTGTATTTGTGTGTTTATAGTAGAGAAATAAAGACTATTTCTCAAAAATGTCTACGCTGTATTGTACGTTTGTATTGTATTGGTGCCTCTCTGTCTATAAATACATGTATTTGTTTCTTTCTCCTTAACCACAGATTGCACTTCCTCTCTTGGGAGACATCGGTGCCTTGCTCAAGGTACTTTGTTGCTATGTAAGAAATCATGTGTTCACTTCCAGGAAAACTCAGAAAGGAAATTTTTATCAGAAATTGAGTTGATTGTTTAGCCTGAACTAAAATTTAATTTTTAAATGGCAGAACATCTATAAGATGGAAAAAAGGGAACACACGTCTCCCTGTACCTTACACCATTTATACTAATCCCCCCACTCTCTTCTTCTTTACTGTGATCTCCTTTTGGGTGTAGAAGGGCGAGGGAGGGGAGAGATGGTAATTCTGAGATGCCTCCAGGGAGGGAATATGTCACTAACACCCTTGCATAGATCATTCTCTCCCCGGGAGAGCAGCTTTCTCTTAATGGGTCTTTACTGACCCTGGCTCACCACTGAGTACCTAATCCTCCTCTCTGTGTCCCCCTGGCCAGTCCCAGGATGAAAACCAGTGCTGCTCAATAAACAACTTGCTTTCAAAGCTGAGTTTTGATGTCATGGAACTTTACAAAATGAGCTCTAAAATTCCAAAGCTGACCATTGCCCTAACACCTGTTACTCTACTGAATAAAAAGTATCTACCTATTTCCATCTCATAGGAAATAAATCTTGCTACCATTTTTTCCTCTAATATTTCCCAGCATTTTATTTGTAAACCAGACGGGGAGAATGATAATGGGACACCCATAATGCTATGTATTAGTGTGTCTCTTCATGGTATGCTAAGACTGAGTAAACCCAGGTGGAAACCTGTCCCTTTACACTATACTCAAACCTTATGTGTCTTACCTGTCTGTGTATGAATGGACAGTGCATACGTATACACACAACACACATACACACACACAACTAGGCTGTATGTGTGTGTAGGTGATTTATTTTATATTCCTAGCATTTAAATACCCAACATTTTGTACAGTGACTTACATAATAGTAGTTGGCAAGCAGGAATGTTTGTTGAACTTAATTCAAGACTCAGGAATTCCAATATGTATTTGTTAGGTGATTAAAGTTTTGAAAATAGATATATAAATGTAAATATAAATACAAAAATACATTAGAAAAATATATTTTTAAGACCTTCAAAAGCCAATATTTTCTTATAAGTCACAGAAGAATATTTATGGGGGTTTCTGGAAGATCTTACATTTATTGTTATAATTACATGACAGGCAATATGCTGCTTTGCTTATCTCACTTAATCTTCACAATAATCTTGTAAGTTTAGGCTGTGATAGTATCCCCATTCTGTAGACAAGAGACTGAAGGTCCAAGCAGTTAAGTTACTTGCTCAGAGTCACATAGCTAGTAAGTGTAACATTAACACAGGAATTTAGGCCCTCAGACATTTTCTTAGGTTCTTTACAAAGGCAGTAGTGTTGGAAATGGCAGCATTGTAAGAGTTATAGCGTATCAGAATGGTTAGGGTTCTTTACTCTAAGAATCAAAAATGTATCCATTTAGGTTGAAATGAATATCCTGATACAATATGGGGTGGCTCACAGAATAGACAAAAGAGACCATGCATAGGCCTTGACAAAGAGAGGAACCAGGACTCCAGGGGTCTCCGAAGTGGAAGTAATTGATCATTTCACC